GGCATATTTACAAAGCTTAAAACAAAACAAAACAAAACAACAAAAACCTTACTGCCATCTAGTACTACTGACCTCATACACAGCTACTGACCTGCATTAAAGTTGAAACCTCCCTTTAAATGTCATTCCTATTATTGTTTCCATTTAAATGGTCTGCAACCTAATTAAATGCCAATCTACTTTCTCACGGTTTATAACATTTGACATTTACACCAAGATTCTAGATGTCATCCCCTGAAACCATCAGATAATAGTTATTGTTGGTAAATGTCCTCACAGTTTACCTTTTAAAAGGACTACTTATTAGTATATTTGCCTATAATTTTGACATCACAAGTTTACAAGCCTATAAAGCTTTATAAAGGTACCACAATAACTCTTATATACTAATATTTTAATTTCATTTTCATATACAGAGCACAAGGAAAACATTGATTCAAACTAACAATAGCAAGGTCTAATGATATTTTCTTCTAAAGGTCACATTTCAGAACTATACGAACAAATTACCAATACATAACCATTAAATAATCAGTTTGTTCAGTTCAATCATAAAATATATATAACTGCAGGTATGTATTTTGAACATAAAATTCTACTTAGCAAATTATATATAACTTCACAACTCCTGTCAAAACAAGTGAATGAGAACTTTTAAATAAAGACAGTCTAAAAAACACTGATCTCTTGTTCACAAAAGGCCACCTAGGAGGCTGATATTCACATTATACACAAGATTAAATACATACTAGAGGCGGTAAACCCTTACATATGAGAATTCAAGGTTAAATCCCTTTTTTTCTAAACGAAACTACTAAACCATCTAAATATCTGCTATGCTCTGAATGTCTGTATCCTTCCCACTCATCCCACCCCTGAATTATACCTTGAAACCTAATGCCCAAGAAGATGGGGACTTTGAGGTGCTTAGGTCATGAAAGGGGAGCACTCTGAATGGGATTAGTGCCCTCATACAAGAGGCTTGAAAGAGTCCCCTTGCCCCCTGGCCTGGGAGGTCAGAGGGAGAAGACAGCCATCAGTGACCTAGTGAAGGGCCCGCACCAGACACTGAACCTGCTGCTGCCCTGGTCTTGGACTCTGCAGGCTCCAGAACTGTGAGAAATACATCAATGCTGCTTATAAGTCACCCAGCTGGTATCATTTTGTTATGAACCAAGACACTATCCATTAAGGCCACAGAAGTTAAATAAGCTATAATACATCCATAAAATATATCATGCATGTATTAAAGTAGATTTAGATCTCTATCTCATGTTGTAAAGTAAACAAGGGAACAAGTAAATCACAAAAAAAATCCTACTTTTCTCAAATAAAAAACAATGTTATTTGTGTTGAGGCACAATACAGTTTAAAGCATGGTCTAGAGTCAAACCTGAGTTTAAATGCTTAGTTTCAACACTTGCTAGCTAGCTTTCTACTGTCAGCAGTCTGTTTGAGGCATGCTATTAACTTTTCTTGGCCTCCATTTCCACCTTCTGTAGTGGCAGATACGGATACTGCCATTTCATAGGGCTGTTGTGAAGTACGTGACATAAATGGCTTTGACATCATCCAAGCCGCTATTACTGGTTAATAACTGTTGTTATTCTTATGGCCCTTACCTAACCTCAAGCAATGAATTCTCTGGTGCCATTTAAGAGTCAGAGAAAAAAACTTAAGAATTTGTCCCTATAGAGTTTTAGGTTTGTATGACATCTAATTTTGCTGATTAATAACAGAAAAGCCTTAGAAAAACTAACACATGTGTAATGATAAAATTTCAGATTATTATAAGCATATACACGCACTACATACATATAATTTGTATGTTATACTCTACCAAATCCTTGAATACTAAAACATTGAGGGTAAAAAGAAATAACATTGCTTTTCTAAGCATGTGGAATAATTTATCTAAATACACAGTGATTGAGATAACCACAAGAATGGTTCATAGAAGGGATCCACTTGAAAAATCCTTTGATGAGCTTATCTCCTGATAGGAATTAAAGCTATAGTTAAGTATACTAAAATGTTCTGATAGTCAACAAACTTGCACAACTGACCTTTAGGGAAATAAATTTAGGATTCTGAAAAGCTGTTCATTCTACATTTCAGGTTCTATATTTTCAAGTCCCCCTTTTTGAAAACACGTTTGTCTTGAAAATTCTAGCCTTCCTTCATCTCGCTGCTTGAACATTCCATTAAGGATCTGATTTCTGTCACTTTCCAACCTTGTGGACTTAAATTTTTCATCTATAAAAAGAATCCTCCATTTATAGAAATATGTCATACCATATATATCAAGTCAACATTTCCATTTACAGATAAAGTAGTTATTCTACTTCAAATTCTGTTTCAAGTCTTTCTCCCACCAAAGACTTAATACTGGATATTTTCCTCTAAATGTTTTCGGTGAAATAATTCTAAAAGAACAGGAATACAGCAAGATCAAAGAATGAAAGACGTCAAATTTAAAAACATAAAGTAACAGAAATAGTATTATTAGCCCAAAATAAGAGATGTATACTAAAATGTTACTTAAGTCCTTAATCAATAATATATTTTAAAAATAAAGCATATGCTGCTTTTTCTACTCTTAATGCTTAGGCTCTGTTTAGGCACTAAAATCGAAGTTGAAAATGACTTTCTGGTTAGCCTTCAGCATTGTAAGTTTCGTAAGCGTGAGTAATTTAGGTCACAGACTATCTGACCACCAGTATCAATTCAATCAAATGTTTGTTGATATATTTTAATTTTGTCAAAGCCTTTTACCATTAGTCTTTTTTTTTTTTTTTAAGATTTTTATTTATTTGACAGAAAGCGAAAGCAAGCACAAGGGGGAGTGGCAGGCAGAGGGAGAGGGAGAAGCGGGAGCCCAGTGAGGGGCTTGATCCCAGGACCCTGGGATCATGACCCGAACCAAAGGCAGATGCTTAACAGACTGAGCCACCCAGGTGCCCCTACCATTAATGTCTTAACTGAAGTCACACTTTACCATTACCACTGCCACCTCCTGCAGCAGAAAAGCAAAATTTTTTTTTTTTTTTTGAGGTTGGACCACTGGGCTTTTTTTTTTTTTTAATTTTCTTACATTATATAAATCACCATACATTACATCATTAGTTTTTGATGTAGTGTTCCATGATTCATTGTTTGCGTATAACACCCAGTGCTCCATTCAGTACTTGCGCTCTTTATTACCCATCACCAGGCTAACTCCTCCCCCCACCCCCCTCCCCTCTAGAACCCTCAGTTTGTTTCTCAGAGTCCATAGTCTCTGATGGTTC